CACCACGCGATATTAAATTTTACACACAAATATCAACATATTCCCGAAACCATGGACCAAATATAGTAAAATTGCGTTTTTCGTTTATCACTCTGACGTCAGTAAATGTCCTTAAATAAGAAGTATTAAAGAGGAAATCCTGTAGAATTTAAACAGATTAAATTTTTTGGTGCAGAAGGGCTAGTAAATATTGAAAATTTCATTTTAAAATTGTATGCTTGAAATTTCGCAATATGTATTTGTTTTTGAAAAAAATTATATGTTAGGGACTTAAGTAAACTCGATAACATCCTCGAATTTCGTCCTTCTAACTTTATCATCTTAAAAAATTACCTATTCGTCCTTGTGAATCCAAAAAATTTAAAATTTTTTTAAATTCTAAAGAAATTTCCTCTTGCATTTGGTACTCATATTTTCATTCTGCATTGCATTAAATTTTTTAAATAATTTTTGGAATTAATCATATCTTTGAAATTACAAAGACCTTTAAAATAAATCCTGACGTCAGAGAGAAAAAATAAAAACGCAACTTTAAATAAAACAGTAGATTTCAAAGTCATTTATTTGTTATTTTTTTATGGTAGGAGAGCTTCTCAAACAATATTTATATGTAGAAGCAGTTTTTTGGATTTAAGTTATTGAAAAGTAATGAATACCTAAATCCCGGGACTAATCCCGGGATTGTGATAACGACATCCCAAAAATTCCGGGCTTAGAAAAATGTTAAAAAAAAAACATCCCTAATCCTCATATATGAGCAGGTAACGATGGTCTGAATAGATACGTTACATTTTTGTGTTTTCGATTATGTCCATGCTGTAAGATAACTCGTACAGATATTTATTCCATCTCCTTCGGTGCCCATCGTTACCCTGTGTTAAATTTTTGAAGCTTAATTTTTGTTTGTAGATACAGGTCCCTGCTTAACAATAGCGTTCCAACCCCGAACAACTTAAGGATTTTTAGCGCAGAGTACCCCTGAATTAAAGATAGCATATATCCTCATTGTAGAATCAGGTGTAATGAAAGAAGAGAAATTAGCTACTTATATATTTCTTGTTCGCCAACGTCTTAGGAAAAAAAGGAAAAGGCGAACTATGATGCCCCGTAAATTTCATTACAAATTTTATAAATTGATAGTCATTGATGATTTCTTCAGTTACTTTAAAACTCGGCGGAGGTGTTCTAAAGATAATATGCATGCATGTATTTAAAATGCTACCCAATAAGTAAAGGCTTCAAATCAGATAAAAATTATTTATATATATGTACCTTGAAATCGATATCTCTTAATAATAATAATAATAATAGATAGATTGGCCGAGCTTCTCCGCCGATTTGTGGCGTGCGCCTTGATGTTTTCACACAAAGCGGATATCTCTTAGAAATGTTAAATCTAATTAAATATTTGCAATTTCAATCACCATTTGTTTACCACGTGCTTATTCAGTGTACCTATGTATATACTCATTCATATCTACATACATATATTTTGGCGAATATCGATCGCTTTGCACAGGAAATAAATTCATATGTGTATGTACCTAATATGAACATTTGTACATCCCGATGTATCCGTACATAGTATCTACTAGCAGTGAAATGGGAACTTGACGTAGGGTGTGTGGCGGTGGACTGAAATACTTTATTAACCCAGGCCCTACTCCCACGCTTCCTTAAACATACACCTAAACATATGTATAAAGTTAAAAAAAAAAAATAAGTATTTTCCCACGTTGCGTTTTGCAATGTTGCGCAACAGTGGCGCCGAACAATGGCGTCAATTGGATGGCGGCACAAAAGAAGCGCCGCCACTTGCATGCAGCATCGCTCAATAATTGCATTTGAACGGCAATTACGCACAAACACAAGCTGATCTGCTGGGCACACATGCACACATTCATATACAATGCCAATTTGTGTACAAATGCATACCCTGTAGGAAAACCACGAGTTATGAGCTAGAATACTAAGTACCACTTAGGCCAATGCACAAATAGCGTTGAAATGCAAAAGGTAGAAGTTTTTAAATAGTTTAGGATGAAACGATTGAAGTGCACAATAAATACTCCTCACATATAGGGCCATAATAGTAGCGCTGTGATACCATATGGAATACTAATATCTTTCGATGCTATGAGCTCTGTCCACTGTCTTATTTCCCACTGTGAATCTATGCAAGGAATTCATTGAATGGTTTGCCAAGCCTCGTCTATGATCGTGCAACTACAACATTGGTCCGATGCGTAAACCTCTGGTCTTATGTCAAAAATATCAGATAAACTTTGACATTGTCTTAAAACTACATAATAAATAATACATATGAGTATTGGTCAAGATGTTTTATATATAAGAAAATCATATGCCACAATTATACCATTTTCCTCAATTACGATCGCGAATTACCCCATTCCCACGGGCCCATTCTTAATTCGATTTGACAGTTCTCTGAGTCTGCGTTTTGTTTTTGTTTTTCTTCGCTGTAAAATTGATGCAAAATGTTGGTTCTTCGTAAAAGTTTATAAGTTTCCGTAATGAATTAGGGATATACATACACATTGATAAACTTAACTTTTCGTTTTGGGAGCTAGTTTCGATAAATTTCCGATAAAATTAGAGACGGCATCGGTTTATTCGTAATTCGCATGGTAATTGGATCTGAATTACCAACAAATGAGGTAATTCGCTCTCAAAATTTTGTATGGCGCATTAAGTAATTCGAAGAGAAATTGGAGGGCGAATTACAATTGAGAGAGCAAACTACGTAATTGGGGTGCCATAGGAAAGCCGTATTAGAGAGGATTCGAATAGTTTTTTCGATAATCGGCACGACTACTTTTACATTGTACGATTAATACTATTTTGCAAATTATTTAATCTTAATTTGTAACAATATTTTTAAGCTGAGGTACATATTTCACAATAACTAAGGCTTACTTAATTTGAAAACCTCAACCGTCTCCAAGCCGACTTGAATCTGCTTTCTCAGAATGAGAAGGCGTAGCAGTCACGCAACGTCACAGTCCATATTCGCTAGAAGACAATTACATACATACATACGTTGCAGTTTTCACAATTTGAAGACAGATGACGCCTAGCTGCGGTGACCATTCCTATCGATATTGGCGGGGCAGTACCGATTTTGAGAAAATTGTCACGCTGAATAATTTTTAAAAGGCGGGACACGATTTTTTATATTTATACCAATTAAATACCGATGTGCAGTGTTTTCTTTATGAATTTAACAAGAATCTCCCTGTATTCTGGTCCAAAAACCATTTTCGGACAAACATAGCAGCACTTGCGTACTTATTTTCTATGATATTTGGTTATGTTTTATCTTGTAAAACTGGTATTCTCGTTATATTGCCATCTATCATCCTTGTCTAAATTTTGCTTTAAGGCTTTCATAATTATTTTTCAATTTTGCGTGGATATGAAAAAAATAAAAGCTGTAGATATATCGCACGTTTGAAATATAGAGACGTAACTCAAACTTTACGTTTTTTGAGATTTCATTATGCAATTAATAAGCTTAATAAGTACAATAGCCTCCGCCTAACAGATGACTTAGTTTCCCAAAAATGGCAAAGATATGTATCTCTCCATCTATCTTTTGGTATACCAACTGTATGAATTCATCAAACTTTGATTGAGTTTTGCCAAAAAACTGAAATTTTGAAATATTTCGTTATATTATTAAACGTGCGATATGGTATCTATACATTTTTGTGTTTTTTTTTCTCTTTTTGTTTTAAATAAAACTCGTTTAAAATATGCTATGTCTTTTTATTATAAAAACAAATTTATATGTCCGCATTCGATGCTTTAGAAATGTCCGCAGAAATCTGGTCACCGTACGCTTAGCGCATTACCGCACTTTAGGCCTCCATTCATGAACTAGTTTGGCTTTTCACTGCAGGGTCTTTTGCGCATTTCTTGCTGCAGCGTGCTTAATATTTTGTTGTTTTTCACACGGTTAGACATACCTTCTTCACATTTAGGTTATTAGATATAACGCGCTTTTAATGCACATCCATAACTCATACCACCCGTAGTGCCAAGGCTTGCGTACATACATACATACATACATATGCAGATCAATACCTACAGGCAGGCAAAAACTTATGCACCTAGTTTTGGTTGCCCTTGCCACTTGCAGCATTCCCAGTTCCGTTTCCGCAGGCGGCCATATTGCTGCACTCATCATGCCCTTCCATTCCATATCCCCCATCATAACCATCATTGCACTTTACCAACAGAATTGACGCCCACATTTTGTTGGCGTCACACAACGCTGAGCACTAAACTAATTAATTACTCCCCATATACTTTGCTCCACAGTTCAATTGCATGCAAAATGACGCCATCTCTCTTCCAAATGCTGTTATTGGCTGCTGCCTCGATAGGAATAGCGCAAACGCGGCATTTACTCGCCAAGGAATTGGCAAAACACCAAGTGACGTCATCACTGGGCACAAGGGTTGCTAGCGTTGAAACGCAGAGCATTCTCAAACATTACAACAACAACCACACGAGCTTTGCGGTAGAGGGCGCAAACGCCAGCTCAACACAGCAGCCGCAGCCGCAGCCAGCATTGGAGCATCCAAGGCAAGGCAAATTGAGGCTCGAGGACGACGGCAACGGCGTCGCTTTCACTGTCTACATCAGATCGCCGAAGAGTGTAGTTCAGGACTGGAGTTTGGTGTGCCAGCAGCTCTGCGGGTAAGTCTCAAAGTGACAAATAGTTCAGTGGAAAATGAAAGAAATTTCACTTCGGAGTTAAGTAAATTACATAAATTGAAGATGGGTGAAGTGATACGGGACAATTTTTTTTCTTAATTTTACGTGTGTGCTTTTGTGACAGTATGCAAAACTTTAGAGATTTTCAAAAAAGGCAAATTTCATGTAAAAGCGATAAAATATTTTGTAACTGCCAATATAATAAAAGTTGTTCAAAAAGTGTCTGTAAATCAAAAACTATGTGGTCTAATGCTTACCTTGGTGTGTTCTCTCGAATTTGCAGAGCTGGCCTGGGCGGTCCGCCGTGCGATGCCCACTGCCACAGCAGCGAGGAACCGTCGCTTCTACCAGCGTTTTCCGGCAACAAACAAAATATTTGCAAGGATCTTTGTAGACTACAGCTCGGTGAGTGATTAAACAAATAAATATATATTTTATTACATCCTTTGGTCATAAATTATACACCAATTAATATAATTTACAAAATACAAACAATTTAATTGTTAAAGTTGGCAAAGGCAAAATTGTGTAAGCCAGTGTGAAAAGATTTAGTTTACAGATATTTATAGCATCAGTTACGCAATGTGGTTTACATTGCAGGTAGTTATAGACCAACTCCAGCCAAAAGTCAAGCTTAGTTTTTCTAAAAACCCAGTAAAAAGTAAAAAAAGTTCGGTTCGGTTTTCAACTCGGATCAACAATTTTTGGTGAATTAAGGTTCGGTTAATTAGTAGAAAAAAGCTGTTAATTTGGTGCAAAACTAGTTTACGTTCCTTGTTTATATTCATCACATTATTTCCCAGCGTATGTATATTCTAGACCTGTGTTGGTTCAGTTTTATTATACAAATTTTACGAGATTATTTTGAAAACCGATGTTTTCCTAGCAACGAAACCAATTTTTTCTACAAGTTTTTGTACACATATACCCGTAACTAGATTTATAGATATGTTTTTCAAATGGCATGAAATATAACAGTTTCTCCAAGGTCACTGTGTGTATATTTATCCTAGTAAAGATTGAGGTTAGTTTTGATTAAAGGGTTATGAGAGAATCAGCTCCATTTTTTAACCGATTTCAAACAAGGAGGAGATTATCAGTTCGTCGGAATATTTTTTTGTATGTACGTTACCGCATAACTTTGGACCACGTTCACCAATTTCTATAACTCTTTTTTTTTTTTTTAGTGGTGGTCCCATACTAATTTGGTTTAGATCCGATCATTGGATCAGGAAGGAAATTAACTGTATTCCCAAATTTTTATATGAGATTTAAAGTCGTTTTTGTTTTTGCTAAAAATTATTTGTTAACCTAAAACTATAGAAAACAATTCTAAAAATTAAATGGGTAGCGGTAATTCAAATAGAATCACGCGTTATTTTGCCAAACTGCACGTATATATATGCATTATATATACGTATGTATGTACATACATATCTAGAAAGAAGAATCCACAAGCAGAACTCTCAGCAAAGTTTGTGCGTATATATGTATGTACGTGCATACATATTTCGTTATGAGGGTGGTTCGCAAAGACTGCCCAAAGCGTTTCGTTATAGCGGCAGGAGGGTGGCTCGAACATATCGCTTGCCATAATTTCATACAGGTAGTATATGAAAATAGTGCTTAGGGGCCTGTATGATTGTCAGTAAATATAAATGTTTGTTCGCTCACTTGGCGGATTTATTTGCATCAGTAATAGTGAAGCACAGCTTCTACACCCTCGTTTATTTTGGAACCGATCGTGTAAATGTACGTTGTATTATCTACTACATCAGATATCAAACATATATGCACATTAGTGTCGTCCACAAATTGTTAAGTCGGAATATTAATGCTCTCACCCCCTAGGATTGTTCTATATCGAAAAAATATACTCCTATTTTTATTTTCAAATCAAAAAATATTTTAAGATTTCCATGTATTTTTTATGGGAAAAAAACAACTTTTCTGAGAAATGGTAAAGAATTCTTGAAAATAGATATTTTTCGATCGGAAAACTTTGGTTCTCTTCAGGAGACTTCTAACAACAATACCCAATTATTTGTTAAATAAATAATTATTAAATAATTATAATTAGGTATTATGAATGGGAATCTCCGGAAGAGAAACAATCCTAGGGGGTGAGAGCATAAAAATTCCGACTTTACTTTTTCACATGAATTTTTGGACCACCCTAATGTACATACAAATTTTTAAAATCGCTATCATGAATCAATAGCATATCCAGCCAGCAATCAAATAGCTAGCATTACTCTCTATAGACAGTTGGAAGCGAAAATTTAGAAAATCAATACACCAGCAACTTGCCTTAGTATCCCACAAGAATTTCATATTACCTTCCCGTTTTACAATTTTCATGAACAGGTGATCAAAGTTGCAACTGCACGGCTGACGATGTGGCCACTACTATGTCGCAAAACACTACGAACTCCCAGTACGAATGGGGCAATGTAGTCTGCAACAGCTTTTGTGAACATTCCAGAGAAACATTGACCGGCTGTAGCAGCTGCATGGAGGACGACGGGGAAGTGCAGGTTTCGATGCGATCCACGGTGGAAACAACAACACCAGACTGGAAGGAGTTGTGTGTCGCTTTATGTAAAACTGGCGATGGCGGGTCTTTGTGCAATTGTGATTTGGCGCCGTTTTTTTAAAGATCTAGCAGGGCGCGAGCACGGGTGGGCAACATTAAACATTCGGATGTTTGAAAACAAGCTGGCAAAGAGACTCAAAGGGGGTCGTTCCGTTCCTACCTGTGAAATGTTGCTGACTTTTAGCTGCTCTGCGAAGTCTCTTAAATGAAATTTATTTCGACGACAACACTTTATAGTTAGTATATTGTTAACTGTTTTAATTGGCTTAACTTAAGGTATGTTATTAAAGAAATAAACTACATCTCATACATACATACATACATGTGAGAATAATTTATGTTACAGACTTACAGAAATTGTAACTCAGTTAAATTTTCATGGTTAGAAGAAACTTTAGCCAATTCAAGTTGCTTTCGTTTGTTCAGTTTATGCAGTACATAGATACATACATAAATATGTAAAGCCCAGAAGGTGTGGCAAGCGTTGCATGAGAGTGAGAAAGTAGACGTGTCAAATTAAAATAAAAAGTGAAAAAAAAAACTAAATCAACTAATCCCTATGCGAATCAATTAATTTATAATTAATTTGAATTATAGTTAAAGGAAAGAGAGAGAGTGTTTAACTAACGAAAATATACTACAAAAACAATTATAGACATAAAGCTGCAGTATATACTAGAAGAGGCGTAGACGAATATACATATATACATATTTATATATATACATACAAACACATATCCATGGCTAAATGCTTATATACATACTACATCTATACATACATATATAAGGTGCTTTCCATGCATAACATACATACTTACTCGCATACATACATACATATCTAATCCAGAGTTGTCGAGTTTTTCCGTTCAAGTTGTTGTTGCACAATTTTCAAACGAAACTAACAAAGAAAAAATTTGAAAAAAAATACAACAACAAAATCACCAAAGGGCTTCCAGGATGCCAGCCTGGAATTTTTGAGTCTTGTCTCTTAAGGGCAAGCAAAAATCCAGCTGGCATACAAAACTCACAAGTGTAGAGTGTAAAAGTAGGTTAATAAAACTAAACGTGTTAAAAGTGCGATGATTCGAGATTTTGTGCAACAGTGAAAACAAAACAAAAAAAAAAAACGAAAACAAAAAGAAAACAATAAATTATTATTTGATCTTTTTTAATGGTTTTCATTGGATTGGTACACATTTTTGGGCGTTTCTCTTAAACTTGAATAAAGGGGGAAACTCGAGACTCGACAAATATTACAACCATGCCATAGTTTCGAGCTTTTTGAAATTTTCGAAACATTTTTCAGTTTAAGGGAATGCACTTAATATTTTATTTGTGTTCAGCAACTATCTGAGACGGTAGATTATTTTACTTTGGTAAAAATCAAAATAGATTACAGTAACTAATTTTAATTTTTACAAATTTTTTTAATTTATTTGCTAAAAATATTTTAAACCATTCTATTACGAAATTTTGCACATATAAATATGTATAAAAAAAGTATAGAAAAAAAAAACTAATTTTAATTTTTACAAATTTATTTAATTTATTTGCTAACAATTTTAAACCGTTCTATTACGAAATTTTGCACATAAATATGTATAAAAAAGTATAGACAAAAAAATGTATAATCAAAAAAAAAGGTCTATTATTTTAGCCAACAAGCTGGAGTAAGCTTATAAACAGTAAATAAAAAACAATTTTGTAGTACTATTAAGCTACTTTGGAAGAAAAAAAAAAAAAAAAAAAAACAATAATTATAGTAAGTAGGAATTAATGGAAATCAGAAAATCGTTTTGGAAGACATTTTTCATTTCTACGAAAAGTAAGCTTTTCGGAAAACTTGTGAATTTTAAAATAATTATGCCATTTTAAATTTTGGAAGACAAAGCCGTGAACTTGAATATCTTTGACCCAAGCAAAGGTAAAACTTGTATATTCATACACTCATAAATAAATGCAAAAACCTAGAAAAAAAGCTTAAGGGGGATTACACAAAAAATATTAAAGTAACTTAGCCAAATTATTAAAATATCAAAAATATATATGCGTACATATAAATAAAAAAAAAAACGCAATACTTATAAATTTTAACCGTTAAATGTATAAAAAAAACAAAAACAAATTAAAATTTTCATTTCACTTCGATGAAAGCTCAAACCAATAGGCACGCAAAGCTTTCCGCCAACTGCCGCGATTACGATCCCCAGCAGGCGGAAGAAGCAAAGCGGGTGTTTTAATTTGGCTTAAATCTACGCTGTGACTGACAATAAAGGCAAATTCTTGAGGCGAACACACTCCTGTGGCTTCCTCATAGCCAATGTCCGGAGGAGGAGGAGGCGTTTGCAGAGAATTTCCATTTCGACATAGCGCAAACTAATACACACACAAATACCCAATAAACATAAAAAAAAAACTATTTAAAAAAAATGTGTAAATGTTAGCTGCATATGACTAAGTAAAGTAAGACAACGCATACATACGCATATACATACTTCTATGTGAACGTAATAAGTTTGTAAAAAATCATTATTTAAGCAGATCACAACAATGGCATTCAAAGCAAATAGCAAACGCAATAACTTAGCATAAATCTTAAATGTAAAAAAATAGAAAGTACCTATTTACATACCAACCAACCCATTTTTGATTTTAAAATTTTTTTTAGCGTTTGTCCACAATTTTACGGAGGCAAAGTTTCAGAGCACAGCCAAAGAGATAGTCGAGAAACAATTTTTGATGTCGACAACATTTTATGACCCAACATATTTACTATAATGTCAAAAAAAAAAAACAAAAATGAAAAGTTAAAGGAAATTTAACTCTTAAAATGCACACTAACTTAACTCATTCGTTTTCAATTTCAGTGTAACTGTTTAAAGCACTTAAACAAATCCCGAATGCACGCACCCTTTATCCCGATATAATATATGTATATGTAAACTTATGTATTAAATCAATAAAAAAATATCATTTTCACTTTAATTATGCACTTTGTCTGTTGATTATAGTAAATACATATGTATGTAATTGAAAAATGAATGTATTTGAACTTGTTGTAATTGTATTGTAATCTAATTGTAGTTAACTGCCATTCGACTTTGTTTTTCTCTCGAAAGAAATCGTTTAGTCCGAAGCAAGTCAACTTAGTTGTTGTCCAAAGGAAGTTATCTTCAAATTAATTATATTATCTTTAAAAGCAAAAATAAATAAATAAAAACTTTATAAATACATATGTGTGTGTAGCTGATATACATAATAAAAATAAAAGTCATGCATATGTATAAAAAAATAATTGTCCTTTTTGTGACTACACAACACAAAACTAAGCAAATGAAGAGTGTGGAACGAAAGGAGGAGTGTTACAAAAATCTGTTTGCCTATTAATTCATATACAACAAGAAAAATATATAAAACGAGTAAAAGTTAATAAACAATTACATAGTTGAATGTTGTGAAGTCAGATGCACTCGTTTTTTTTTCATTTCTTATTAGCGTTTTTTGGTAAGTGTTTTTACAGTGTGTAACAGGGTGGTCCCACCACATTTTGCTTAAAATTTGTTCGCGAACTTATTGACGAAGGTAAAGTAAAGCCATTTGGGTGTCCCTTGATCAATGAACGAAAAAACAAGTAGATCAACCGACGAGCCAACATTGACTCGGATCGCTACCTTGTTGCAGCCAAGGTCCGCATGTGCGCCTCTGTGCAATGAAGAGCGTGCGTCAGGCAACGCGGCAAAAGTTCGACATCGAGAAGCTGCAGTCACAACAGACAGCCGAGAAATTTGGCAATCGACTCTCAATTCTGCTAAAACAAGAAACTGTTCATCGAGAAGGAGGAATTCATCTTCCAATCTCTTCGTGCCGCCCACGCAGGAATAGCTGGTATGACCAAGAGTGCCGTGCGGCTGCTGCAAAGAAATACCCATCATACAAAGCCACCCAGCAGCCAATAGCTACGCGAGCGGACGTGGAACGATACCGGGAGATGAGTAGGGAGGAGAGATGTCTGTTGAAAAGTAAGAAACGAGAGGCAGAAATACGCGATTTCGAAGAGCTTGAAATGCTGGCAGACAGGAATAAGGCTCGAAAACTCTATCAAAAAATAAAGGAACAATAAAATTGTTTCAAGACCGTGGCTGGTTCCTGTAAAGAGAGCTGAAGATGGAAATCTGGTAACAGAAGTCCATGGTACACTTGACATGTGAAGTGAACACTACTCAACGTTTCTGAATGGCGACACATGTGACGCGATCGATGAGCGAGAACCCGAACCAATGTATAGAGACGAAGGTCACCTTCCTCCACTTGGCCAAGATGAAGCAGAATTTCGTTTGATGAATACACGCCCGAAGATTGGCATCTCAGTGTACTTTGTCCAATCCACAAGAAGGGAAATCACGCATACCGACGAAGATGGAATGACGAACTGTACGAGCTTTTTAACGGCATGAACATGGGTAAGCGATGACGGCACGCTCCGGGGAAAAGATCCTTTGACTTCGCACCCATGCGTGGACGACGAAAGCAGGGGCACCCGCGAACACAATGGAAGGACCAAGTGCAGAGGGACCTGTCCGCACTTGGGATGAACAACTGGCGCAAATCCACAAAGGAGAGAGGCAACTGACGAAGCTTTTTGGTCACGGCCCAAACCGACAAACGGTTGTGGTGCCGAATAAGAAGAAGAAGAAGAATAAAGTATGGGCTGTCTAAACCGAGTAACACAAGTATGTGAAACTTAATTTAAAAACAGTTTTATTGAGCTTTATGCCGCTATTGGTTTTTAGGAAAAATTATATAAAATTAGAGAACCAGACACAAAAGTTCACAAGAGAGAAAGTAGCTCTCTGGCATTCCGCCAACTCCAGCACGCTAGCGTGATCAATAAGCAGAGTGTAAATGTTAGGCCTTCAAGTTTAGCTCTGTTATTTTTCGCTGAAGTGGCGATCGACCAAGTTGTAGTGTTTACCCTCGCTGGCGCCTTATTGATTTTGGCCATAATTTTAACGGAATTCAAAGAGGATAATAATAAATTAGTGAAAGATTCAAGTGGATATAGCGTTGGAAAGCAGAGCAAAATAATGACCAGCTTCGTCAATGTACCAGAAGGAAGTGATTTTCCACTAGAAAATCTGCCATATGGCGTATTCTCAACAAATTCAAATGTAAGTTATCCCTAAAATTTTAATGGCTATTTAAACTACAAAAATATTTTTGAGAAATATTTTCAAATATGTAACTGAACTGTTTTCGCTTGTCCTGCTTGACCTGTTGACTGCAGCAGTACTGAAGGGATGTATTATGCGGGCATCTATTATTTATTTTCTTTGCCCTAATATTTATGAGAATATTTATGAGTATTTTTTTATCTTTTCAGCCCCGCATGCGTATTGGTGTAGCCATCGGCCAGCATGTGCTCGATCTTGCCGGGGTAGCACAACTTTATCCACTCGAAGTGCAGGTATTTTCCACATTTTAATTTAAGGTTTCAATTCTATTGCAATTTATTATCCATGATTTCATCGGGATGAGCTCAACTCAGATTCGTTGAATTTGCTGAGATAAGTCTTGGTCACTCGACGTGGAGCGTAGTGTGGGAGCGAACACGCAAGTTACTGCGTAAGGTTTCCACACTGGAGGAAAATTAAGTACTGGCTGAAAGGTATGTGAAATTTGCGCTCGCTCCCTTACAGTTATCTTAAAAATTTTTTAACTCTGTTATTCCTCATTTAAAGCGTTCTTTTTCCACAAGCGGAGTGCGAGCTGCATCTGCCAGCTAATATCGGGGACTACACGGACTTCTATTCGTCCATTCATCATGCAACCAATGTTGGCATCATGTTCCGTGGCAAGGAGAATGCATTGATGCCGAATTGGCGTTACATACCAGTTGGCTATCATGGACGAGCCAGCTCCATTGTGGTCTCCGGTACACCTATTGGACGACCTTTGGGACAAACTTTGCCTGTGGATGGCCAACCACCTGTTTTCGGCGCCTGCAAGCTCTTAGACTTCGAATTGGAGTGGCGTTCTTTTTAGGCGGCCCAGGGAATCAGCTGGGTGAACGAGTTTCAGCTGATGATGCGTGGAAGAATGTCTTTGGTTTTACGCTGATGAATGACTGGAGTGTTCGTCCCGGCGATTTAATGGCGTCTGGCACCATCAGCGGTGAGTCGGAGGACTCGTATGGATCCATGTTGGAACTAAGTTGGCGCGGTTCAAAGACTATTAGCTTAAACGGTGGCGCCACGCGAAAATCTCTACAGGACGGAGACGAGGTGATTATTCGTGGGCACTGCGAACGAAATGGTGTGCGAATTGGATTTGATGCGCCGGAAAGGTCTTGTCTGCCATTCCACATTGAAGAGCTCAGTTCACTTTCGTTAATATTTATATGTTGTTTAAAAAGTAGTAATAAAAGTTTTTATTAAATATCTATTTACATAAATATATGTTTGTTGTGTATACACTTGAATACTCTGACAAAGTCAATTACTCGGGGTTACTCTGGATAAGAGACTAAGTTGGAATTCTCATCTAGACAAAACTCTTAGCAAAGCCACCCGAGCCAAGTGGGACTGTCAAAGGCTTTTCGGTCGGACATGAGGTCTAAACTCCAAACTAATAGAATGGTTATACCGAACTATAATCCGTCCGATTGTAACTTATGTCCCAATAATCTGGTGGCCAAAAACGCTGCAAAACACTACCGTTTCACGTCTGAACCAACTCCAAAGGATGGCTCTACTGTCGGTGACAGGAGCAATGACAACGAGTCCAACCGCGGCCTTGGAATCGGCTCCTTGGCTGGACCCCACTCCACCTTTTTGGCCAAGCAGCAGCAGCAGCTTCGAGGAATACGCAAATGCAAAATTCTGACAGTACTCTTAAGAACAAGACACAACACAAAGGTATTTTGAGCAAAATACCAGGTCTAGGCATCTGCGAGATCTCCGACGATATGCCAAAGGAAATCTGCTTTGGAAGGAAATTGCAGGTCAAAATTCCGGACCGATATGTCTGGTGAAATGGTTTACCAGGATTAGATCCCAGATATATACACTAGTACACAGACGGATCAAAGATGGAGGACAGAACAGGAGCGAGAGTCTTTGGACCTGCCAACAAATTTCCCATCGCAATGGGTACTCGGTCCACGGTCTTTCTGTCTGAGGTACTAGCAATCTCAATTTGCGCCAGACTGAACCTGGAGCCAGGCAAAGGGCTTTGACACTATTCAACTCTTGTCAGCAAGGAACACGGTATTACTATTCTGGGTACGAGGACATTGCGGAAGGCACTCTTGAATTCAGCCTTTTGCTTGTTAAATTGGAGTCGAGTTTAGGATTTGAGGGCAAGTAAAGACGAGTGCTTTAATAATGGGGCATATTATTGCCCCCAATATGGAATTCACTCGGATTAATAACTATGCAAATATAGGCATGGCTTCGTAGACCCATCTTCTTTTTGTGCTGCAGAATGTAGCTTTAAAATCGGAAAAAGGTGGTGTATATACATACATTGGTTTATCGAAGGCATTTGCGGGATACTAAGTTCTACTGATAAGGTTGTGGTTGTTGTTGTAGCGGTCGGTTGATATCTCAGTCGTTGTCGTCAAGCTCCACTAACGGCAGCCCTAAGAAGCGTGCATCCTCAATAAGGTCGGTCCACAGACAGAGGCGTTAGGGTTGTCGGATTTTCCGGGCATACGAAGAGATGTTTCGAGTCATGAGGTGTCTGTCCGCATGCCGGACGCTCATTTGGTACATCTGCGTTTAGTCTCCTCAGGTATGAGTTAGGCTATTGTGGTTCTAGTCTTCCGACGCAGATGAAGCACCGACTCGTCAATGTCCGGTGGTTGTGCGCCTAGAACGGCATTCACAGGTCTGGAGTCTACATGACTCGATACTGACTCCCTGTGAATGCCGTTCAGGGCCTGTCGATAAGCTGACGGGTCCAGAGGTTCGTAGAGATGCCTCCTGACGTGCTTGGGCGAGGTCTCGTCTGCAAGCAGTTAACCATTAGGGTGACCACGTCTATGGCTCCCAACAAGAAACTGCTTGCAGAGCATTGTGTTGTGTTCTTTGACCGGGAGCAATTTCGCCTCGTCGTGCAGGTGGTGTTCTGGCGACATCAGAAGGCATCCAGTCGGTGTCCGTACTGCGGTGTTTCTACTGATAAGGTCGAATCCGTTGGTTGATGAGGCGATTTGGCTTTTTCCCAGACTCATCCCTAGGGCCTTCTAAGGACTATTGAGAATATTGATAGTTGGCGCAAAGAGCAGGATCTCCCTTCTTGTGCATTTGCGAAGTTTACTGAAATTCAAATCTTCAGGCATGTATTCATCAGACGAAATTGCGCTTAACAGGTTTGAACAACTCAGCCGGTATTCGGTCTGATAGAGTGGAGGGACGTTAGGTTTGTTCCTATACATATTCTTCTGCGCTTACAATCTCAAATGTACTCTGAAGTCTGTTACTGAACATCCCAAATAAGAAGAAAAGTTTTATCAAGAGGGAAATACAGATGGAGATAAACGAAGTCAATGTTATTGTTAATTCCGAAATCTTGTCTAACCGATAACCGGTTCATTTCTGCCGGAATTGCTGTATCTGATGGTGGACAAGCTTAAAAGCGCGCCTGAAAGTTTTCTTTTCAAACTTTTACTTGCGACAGGGTGACTGCATGATGGCTGGTAGCTTTTGCTGCGCAAAATTCACAGAAGCATGTATGGATTAGCAATTGCCCTTTTTAGTTGAGCACAAGCTGCTATCGAATAGATGCTTTGCGAGAGTGGACAGTAAAAATAAGAGCGAAAAGTGGCGAGATACGGAGAGCATGCATTACTGCGCCTGCTCCCAACTTACACCACACCCCTCAACTACCCGCGCCACATGTTAGAGTTTGCCTAAGCAAGCAACGAGTAAATTCCTCTGGCTGGCTGACTGGCTATTCAACTCCAGCATGAAATCGCTGGCACGGCAAACAGTTGAAGACGAACAGCGTCGACGAGCGCAGGCGAGCAAGTTTTAAAAAATCACTGGCGCCGGGTAATTGTTTAGTCCGACAGCAACAACAAAAAATCCAACCATAATCTATATATACATATATATATATATACATGTATACTCGCACTATAAAAGCAAAGAAAAAAAAACAATGAAAACAGTGAAATAATAGCATAAAGTAATCGCACGATTTCGCATCAATAAATGCAGATAAATACGCCGCAGACGAAAGCTGAAAATTTGTATGCAAAACGCGAAACAAACGCGAATGAACAGTAAAAGTGAGTGCAAATAGTTGAATTTTTGCAAATGCCAATTTCTTATCAGCGATTTGTTTTATACAAAATCGATAAGCACTGTTGGCAAAATTTGTACGGATTGCATCTAACGCAGCCCAAGGTTTTTTTTTGTTTTTAATCTTGTTCGAATGTGAACGAAATACGGGTATACGATTTTTTTTTTGAAACGTTTGGAAAAATCAATTCTTTGCTACTTCACTCGCTTGCCGACGCAGCAGTCACAGCTGTTGGCGTCGCGGTCGCAGTCACTGTCTCTGCTGCTGCCATTAGTTTTGCCGCTAAGGCTGTCTGTCACCACCACCCCGCCATGTATGCCTCGTCGTCGTAGCGTCACATTGAGTGGCACATTGTGTAGCAAACCGCCACCAGCAGACTGCAGCCAGCCAACCAACCAACCACCCACCACCCAATCGTTTGCGCGACGCTTGGTTCTTTCCCCGACCTGGGGGTATATGAACTGAGGAAAGGAAATGCCCCCCACACTGTGACGCTTTAGAAGGCACCTTCGATGGTTGCAATCTGGCTTTGGTTCGCAGTGCACTGTTAAGTGTGTTTGGCGGTCGGTCGCTGCCCAGGAGCCAGGCTCTTGAGACGAAGTCTGCTGTCGCAAATGTTGCAACTGTCGTAACGGTCGTACGCCACTAGACTGGCGCTTTAAATGACTGAGTGGCTGTCGAAAAGACGTTTGTATGTGCAGACGCTGAGGGGGGTTAAGATGGCGACGGTGAAGTTAACAGCTATGTAGAAAAGTGCAATACAAAGCGGCACAAAGAAAATGTTGCAAAAGTCAAGTCGCTGAGAAGACGCACCCCACCGGGAGGCTTGTTTTCTATGCCTATGTATTACACAAGCTAGGCGTTGGTAGGCGAAACAAGCGTAGACCCAAACAACAATGGGACATGCCATTGCATTTTTTGCGCGCGTGTTTGTGTGTATGCTTGTGAGTGTACAATTACACACCGACAATAAAGGTAATTAAGTGACGGAGGTGTCTGAATAAATGCTACAATGTATCTACATAACGTCCATCCCTAAATTGGCGCGTCAAGCGGCAAGCAACTGTCAAAAATCCTCATGTCCATACAATTTTTATGAGCAAATGGAATTTTCATTTTTGTCGGGGCGTTAAGTGTTGAATTTGGATGCCGAAGACGGAAAGAAAGAGAAAGAACAAAAAAGTGAAAGAGGAAAAGAGAATAAAAACGAGTGGGAATGAGAAAACGTCAAAAGTTTCTCCGCGCTGATTTGGGGATAGCGCGCGCTGACACTCGTTGACGACAATGGAAAACGCAACGCTTAGCGCTAGAATTTAGGGACGGCAGTAAGAGACAAGCGCAAGCGAAGTTCGGGGAGTATGTACACTTGAGAACCAGTTTTTTAAACATAGCTTTCGCAACGCTTTTGCTTTGCATGTCAACGCTGCACACACGCTTAGCCTCGGTAGATATTGCGAAATTTCTTCTTTTGCTAATCATCTCTGGATTGCATTCGCTTGTCCCTCATTCTACACATAATACAACCCCTTGAAAGTGATTAAAGTTCATTGATTCGATATTCGAGTTTCGTTACAAAAAGCAAATAAAATCACAAATTGTGAATGCAGTGCCAAATGGAAGCAACCGTACCGAAGAAACAGAAACAACTAAAAAAGGTAATCTGTTATGAAAATGTGTGCGAAGAGTGTGCAGCTAGCACCTACACAAGTGTAATCAAAAAATCAGTAAACAAAGAAGAACGTTCTTTGTTTTGCGTTTTTTATGAGCTTTTGCGCGCACTTTTAATTTTTTTAATTTTTGCCTTTTTTTGTATAAGAAACCTTTACATTCCAATTTGGCACGAATGTGGTTCAAAGTCCACAAACTGGTAATAATTTCGCATAACTATCTTTTGGGAATGAGGGTGCCTAAATATGTACTAGAGGTGTTCCTTGGGAATGTCATCTCATATGTATGTATATAGTTAAGCTAGCCATATAGCAGTCACAGCAGCAGGAAAAAAATAGCCTTGAAATAATTTCGTCTAATATAAATGAATAATCTTTCAACCGAGATCAAATATGTAGATAGAAATCTGGAATGGAAGCGCTCTAAATGTCCGTATAACAGCTTCATATGTACAAGTAAAAACAAGGGAAGTTAAACCATTTATTGTCGATACTAAGATCAAATATTCCATCTGACGATTTCTACGGAAAGTTCAACATAGTCTTAATACTAGGAAATTTCCACTCATCCAACGTGTTCTGACACCAAGTTCTCTATAAGGAACCCCGTGAGGAACAGATGGAAAAACGCCACAGGGCTAGACTCGGAATCCGACGCTACCTTTACTGAGGTTTCGTGCACAAGCAACATATGGGATGCATCCCAGTAAAGTCGAACTAAACCACTGTCTTCATTGTTATTGTTGCCGTTGTAGCAGTTGTCGTTCATTTCAACTAACGGTAGGATCAGGAAACTATGCTCGTGAGAGTAGGAGCAAAGAGAAATAGTGTTTAAGTAGCTAAGTGGGTTTAAGTAGACATTGAATCTGAACCGTAAGTGTGCCAGAGCTACGCAAATCCCTCTAGACAGCTTAAACTTTTCGCCTGCTATAGATGGTAGTGGAAATCTGGTGATGATGATGGAGTGAGAGTTTCTAAAAATGGTGGCTGGCTGACGATGAGGGCATGTAAATGCCACAAGTAATCTAAATTTTATGTCGCTAATTGGTGATAAATTTCGAAAGTATTAAGGCCCCAGAGGTCTCCATTACTGGGGAAATAAGATCTATTGCGCGATAAGACTTTGCTCTGTGAGCTGACGCGCAAACCCTAACGATTTTGGCATAAACACCCATAGTCTGTCCGGGTTTTGGAGGCTTTTACCTTTCCGATGGCCACCCGAAATTCATTGCTAAGTAATTTGGTTTTAAGAGGTTATTGGTCTTATCCAATAGCTCGCGCGTATCTTCGGTTTAGAGGAGGCATAATCGCAAAATGTAATTTATACCCTACCATCGCGCTTCAGCGATTGGACAGGAACCTCATGATCGACCAAATTTTACCAACATAGTATGAGCCACACTAGAGACGCAATTGCAAGTCTTAACTTTTGCTAGTTAAAAAAAAAAATCCAAATATCCATGTTGGGATCTCCTTGGCGTCGATGGTCAGCTTGAGGTGGAAGATTTGGGCGAATTTTCGCGAGTCTACTGGAATCTCAACCATCGACTAGCCGACCAATGAAGTTCTCTTTCATTAATGTAAGTAGTACGACCTACTCTGACATAAAGTATTAGAGTTTTAGTGTACCACGGCTATACCACTTTGCGAAAAGACTCATAAATATCATAAAATAAAGATAGACCTTGGAACTTGTCAGACAAAGTGATTTCTGTCACAGCTGCAGAACAAAGAAGAGGATAAAGTGGAGATCATCGCGCACTATTTTCAGACGGGGGGTATAAAAAATTAATTATTTCATATTTGTAAAAAATATTAAAAGGTAAAAATAAAATAGTATGTAGTCCGCTGACAAATTAAAACAACAAATTGTTAATCAGAAAATATAATCAACTTATATGCTCATATAACTTACGAGTACCGTTAACTTCTTCTTGATCAAATGATCGGCACTAAACCAAATAATTACCGAAAATGGTTCACCCGAACCAAAGTTATCCTTTAACCTTCATAAAAAGTATATATTCCTATGTATTGAAAACCTCCTCATTTTTTTGAAGTGGGTTAAAAATAGAAATTAAAATTCTAAACTTTTTTACCCACTCCAATCCATGCTGTCACTCGCAGGTATGCATATGTAGACCGATGCAGCTATCAGCAATATTATATCAATTTGTGTTATAGTAATGACTCATACGTATTTAATCTTATTCAAGGCCACAGTGGGTTCGTTTAAGCCTATATTTACATATATATCTACATAACATATGTATTATGCGTATGT